GGCAACATAGCAAAACCCTATCTCTACAAGAACATACATAAATTAGCCAGGTGTGTGGTGCATGCTTGTGGTCCCAGCTACCAGGGAGGCTAAGGTGGGAGGATCACCTGAGCCTGGAAGGTTGAGGCTGACTGCACTCCAGGGGGTCAAGGCTGAAGTAAGTTATGATCCCACCAGCCTGGGTGACAGAGACCCAGTGTCAAAAAAAAAAAAAAAAAAAAAAAGCTATTAAAGAAAAAAAAATATTGAAGCTAAACCTAGCTAAACCCTTCAAAATTCATTCCAAGAAATGCTCATTAACACCTGACTATTATGTACAATGTTCATACATGTCCAATGCATTTTTCCCTGCTTCCAGAAAAAGGCTTGAAATAAAGCTTCTGTAACCATTGTAGCTAAACCGTCTTCCCACACACAGCTTCCATTTCCTCTAAACACTCAGAACCAAATGAACTGTCCTTGTTTAGCAAAACCTTCTAACCTGGAGGCTGTCCTGACATTCTGTCCCCAGAGTCAGCCAAACTCTATTATACATCTTTAGCAACTGATCAGAAAAACGCCCTGCCAGCTGTTTCCCTCCCTCTGAGGGCAACTCCCCTGACCCTCCCCCCTATGCCCTGGGTTGCAGTTCTGGCCGGAAACCTGCTCGTGCCTGTGGCAAAGAAAGTGAGGGTGGCAGGAACCTTCAGACCTTTCCAGTGTGAGGCAACTGCATCCCTAGGACTAGGGTGAAGTTGTTAGCGCAAGATTTAAGGGGGCGCTCACTCGCGAGTATGGACCCTGCACTTACAGGACCCTGAGAGCGAGTGCCTCCTTAAATATTGCACTCCAGGGTCCTCACAGCCTTTGTCTCAGTCCTGGGCTCTGGGTTCTAAGCATTCCAGACGCTCCTTCCTCAAATGGAGGTTTCTGCAAGATACGACTGGATCTCTTTCCTTCTCAGCCCTGCCCTCAGAATTCCAGCCCCTAATCAACTTTTATGGAAATGCGTGCCAGGCCAAAGAGCCACCCCTGAGCAGCTGTTGACTTAGGAGTTTCGCCAGGGACACACCTGCCCAGAGCCTCTTGCCCCAGAGCCCCACCTGGGTTTATGGTGCCTCCCCCTCCCAGAAACAGGAGCTCAGGGGTCAGGAACCCGAGTCCTGAAGTCCCTCCTCCCCCAGGACTCAGGATCCCAGGCCCCCAGTACCCTCTTCCCTTAAGTTTAAGGAGTCCAAGCCACCACCCTCTTGGGGACCCAGCACCCAACTCACGAAGCGCCCGAAGCGGATGGAGTCTCCATCCTCAATGTGCAAGTCAGCCTGGGCTCCACTAAGGCGGGAGATGACAGACTGGCAGCCAGGGAGGAGGGAACGGAGCAGCCCCGAGCCTGTAACGTGGTCTGCGTGGCAGTGGGTATTCACTGGGAGAGAGAGGAGGGACAGGTCCAGCAGGGCATACAGAGAGGACGTGGGAGTCCCAGCCCAGATCTTTCTCCCTCAGACTCAGGAGTTCCGGCCCCCGTCTTCCCACTCCACTGACTGCAGCCCAGCCCCGCTGGGACCCGAGAGTCCGGTCCCTGGACTGACCAGCATACAGCAGGCGCAGCCCCAGTTCCTTGATCAGCTGGGCATCCCGAGGCGCTGTCTCCAGGACCGGGTCGATCAGAACGGCCTCCCGGGACTCTCTGTCACCCAGCAGGTACGTGTAGGTGCAACTCACCGGCTCGAACATCTGGGAGCGGGGGACCCAAGTGAGAGCGCAGACCCGGACTCCCACCCATTAAAGGGCCCAGTAGTCCAGACTGGCTCTATCCCCTTCCAAAGATCCAGAAGCAGAAACCCCAGCCCCCTCTTTCCCCTGGAGTCAGGGGCCCCACCACCTTCCTCCAACAGAACGAAAGAGTTCCAACTACAAAGTTGGAACACCCCAAAATAAGGTTCCCCAGCACGTTCTTTCATAAAGGACCCAGGGGTCCCGCCCCAAGCCGAGGAGCCCCCAGACCATCCACCTTTAAAGGACCCAGGAGTCCCGCCCTAAACCTCCACCCCGCTTTCCGCAAGATCCAGGCGTGGGTCACCCGGATCTCTCCCCGTTAAGAGACCCCGGAGTTCCGCCCTTGCTGCCGCCTGACGCCCAGTAATGCCCCCCTGGGTCCAGCCACCCGCACCTGCCGCAGAAGGATGGGGACTTCAGACCTGCCGCGCTGGCTCAGCTGCCGCTGGGTAACCCTCAATACAGCCCCCGCCATCGCGTTCGCCGCAGGGTCAGGACTGAGCCGAGGCCGAGCGCCGGCGGCAGACAGAGGCTCCCCAGCTGACCCGGGGAGGGGCGGGGCGGAGGCGGGGGCGGGGCACGCCTTAAAGGGGCCGCGGTCGCCTGGGGTAGAGGGCGGGGCGCCGCCCAGAGGGGCAGAGGCAAGTACTAGGGCGAGGGCTAGGGCGAGGGCGAGGAAGCCAGAATGCCACGCAGGGACGCTCTGAGACCCAGAGAAACAGAGAACAGGGAGACACTCAAATTGCGAGGGACAGACGCTCGGAGACACACGGGAATGCTCATGTAGGAACAGAGATAGGGAGAGAGGTAGAAACCCCAGGAGAGGCCCCAGTACACTCATAGCCTTGGGGCCGTTTTTTTTCTTTTTTTTATATTTTGAGACAGAGTCTCGCTCTGTCACCCAGGCTGGAGTGCAGTGGCGTGATCGCGGCTCACTGCAGCCTTAAACTCCCGGGTTAGAGCGATCCTTCCACCTCAGCCTCCCGAGTAGCTGGGACTATGGTACGATGCCACCACACCCGGCTAATTTTTTTTTTTTTTTTTAGACGGAGGTCTCCCTGTGTTGCCCAGGCTGATTTCAAACTCCTGAGCTCAAGCGTTCCTCCCACCTTGTCCTCCCAAAGTGCTGGGATTACGGACGTGAGTCACCGCGTCCCGTGGGGCCGTTTTCTAGCGGGTGGTTGGATAGTCATTGTTAGAAAAAGATGTTCAGTTCCGGGAGGCAGAGGTTGCAGTAAGCAGGAATGGCGCCACTGCACTCCAGCCTGAGACAGAGGGAAACTCCTTCTCAAAAAATAACAAAAAAGTTAGGTTCTAGGTCATTAGTATCTTGAGGGACTTTTGAGTGGGTGCCTGGTTACCAGAACAACACTTGATCCCATTAAAGTTCATCCAGAAATTGCATAAACATTTTATCAGGGATGTTTCTCTCTTTCCAGGAAGAAATCTAAACACACACACACACACACACACACACACACACACACACACACAGGGGTCGGGCACGGTGGCTCACGCCTATAATCCCAGCACTTTGGGAGGCTGAGGTGGGCGGATCACAAGGTCAAGAGATCGAGACCATCTGGCCAACTTGGTGAAACCCCATCTCTACTAAAAATACAAAAAAAAAAAAAATTAGCCGGGTGTGTTGGCACGCGCCTGTGGTCCCAGCTACTCAGGAGGCTGGCAGGAGAATCATTAGAACCCAGAAGTCAGAGGTTGCAGTGAGCCGAGATCATGCCGCTGCATTCCAGCCAGGCAACAGAGCAAGACTCTGTCTCAAAAAAAAAAAAAGGAAAGAAAATATAATTTTGCATAATCTCTTGAATAATCAGATTGGGGATTATTCATCTTCTGTTGGGGTGTGAACCTCTGAAAACAAATTTTGTTCATTTACACCAAGGACTTGGGGCTGAGAAACTGTGGTCTCAAGTTATGAGCTGTCAGAAAGTTTGTTCTTTGGAATCGTAGCAGTACTGAGAATAGGACATCCCAGTCTCATCTGGAGGATCTATGTCACTTTGTGAAATCTGAGCAGCCTTGATTTCCAGCTTAGGGGGAGAGGTTTTTTTTTTTAATTTTTAAAATTTTGGTAGAAACAAGAGTTTGCTATGTTGCCAGGCTGGTCTCCAGCTCCTGGCCTCTCCCATCTGGGCCTCTCACAATGCTGGGATTACAGGTATGAGCCACTGTGTTATCCTGTCCCCTGCAGAGCTTCTGAGGAGGGGTTTCCTGCAACAACATCTTAATTCTGGAGTTTCCAGGGAATGGTCCCTGGAGCTATTCTCAGAGCGGGCCCTGTGTTAATCCCTTTACACAGAGAAGGCCTGCTTTGCCTTGAGCCTATCAAATTGCCTCATTAAAATTTTATGTGGCTGAGCTCACACCTGTAATCTCAGCACTTTGGGAGGCTGAGGAGGGCAGATTACTTGATGTCAAGAGTTTGAGACCAGCCTGGCCAATATGGTGAAACCCCATCTCTACTAAAAATAAAAACAATACAAAAAGCCAGGTGTGGTGGGGCATGCCTTGTAGACCCAGCTACTTGGGAAGCTGAGGCATGAGAATCGCTTGAACTCAGAAGGCACAGGTTGTAGTGAGCCAAGATGGTGCTATTGCACTCCAGCCTTGGCAATAGAGCGAGAGCGTCTCAAAAAAAAAAAAAAAAAAAAAAAAGGAGAAGACATCCAATTAGTCTTGAAACAGGAAGAAAAAAGCTCAGAGCAAAGAGAACTTTTCTTACTTATTTTGTCACTATCCTTGACTTCTTCCCACCTTTTCCCGCTCCTTTTTTTTTTTTTTAGGTAGAGTCTCAATCTTCACCCAGGCTGCAGTGCAGTGTGTGCAATCTCTACTCACTGCAGCCTCCGCCTCCTGAGTTTGAGTGATTCTCCTGTCTCAGCCTCCCAAGTAGCTAGGATTACAGGTGCACACCACCACACCCAGCTAATTTTTTTTTTTTTTTAAGACGGAGTTTCCCTCTTGTTGCCCAGGCTGGAGTGCACTGGCTTGATCTCGGCTCACTGCAATCTCCGCCTTTCAGGTTCAAGCAATCCCCCCACCTCAGCCTCTGGAGTAGCTGAGATTACAAGCGTGCGCCACCACGCCCGACTAATTTTTGTATTTTTAGTAGAGACGGGGGTTTCACCAAGTTGGCCAGGCCGGTGTCAAATTCCTGACCTTAAGTGATCCTTCCGCCTCTGTCTCCCAAAGTGTTGGGATTACACGCTTGAGCTACCCCTGGCCCCAGTCTGGTTTGGAACTCCTGGGATCAAGTGGTCCGCCCACCTCTGCCTCCCAGAGTGCTGGGATTACAGGCGTGAGACAGGGAACCAGGCCTAGGCACTTTCTATTCTAAACACTTTCCATTGATTATCACATTTAATCCCAACAACCCTCCACTTTATAGATAAGGAGACAGGCCTAGAAAGAGATCTAAAAAGGGTCACACGGCTAGAAAGTGGCACAACCGATTCCAAGCCAGTTACCCAGGCAATCTGGCTCCAGAGTCCAAATAACCCCACCAAACAAACTCCCAGGAATCGCCAGACCTGTGGGTTATCGGACTGGAGACCCACCCATGCAGAGGACTTTTATGGGCATTTCCTGGTCCTTCCTGCACCAGGCAAGAAAATGCACCGCCACTGCTCGGGAAGAATGCCAAGCCGCACGCCCGGAGCCTAGCACCAGGAGCAAGGGCCAGGGCACCTCAGGACCACACAGGCGTCCCAGGGAGGAAGGTCGATGGGGGCGTGGCTGAGAATCTTGAATCACCCAATAACGAGGTGTGCCGGGGCGCTATGCAAATAATGTGTACGTTTTATTGGGCACTGGCTCTCCGGAGTCCCGCCCCGCCCTCGCCTGAGGAAATGGACAGACTTTTTGCAAATGCCTTGAAGGGTGGAATTAGCAGCAAGCTCTTGAAACTGCCTCTGGAGATGGAATCCAGCGGAATTCTCGAAAAGAAGAGGGGTGCATGCACTGATTTCCAAGCGCAGTTTGTCTATGTTAGTCTTGCACGTGCTTGACTCCAGTCAGCCACCGTAGGCCCCGCCACCCGCCGTACACTTTCTTTCGATCTTTTGGCCAGTAGCTTCGCGCTTGCTCACGAACTTGCCTGCCTGCGTGGCCCACCCAGTCCCTCCTTCCAGTCCGTCTTCCCCCTCCGCAGCCTCTGCCAGCAGCCACTGCGCATGCCTTCTGACGCCCCCTCTGGTCCAGCGTGGGAGGAGGGGATGGAAATGAGGTTGGGCCGACCAGCTCGCGCGCGCTCCCTTCCCTGCTCTACCCCGTCGCCGGACGCGCGCCGGGCTGTGCAGCTCCGTGGGGCCGAGGGCAGTGCAGCAGCGGCGACGGCTGCTGCGGCCCTGGCCGCGGCGGGAGGAGCCCGGAGCCCCGCCCCCGGGGAGGGGCCGTCCTGCAGGTGAGGGGCAGGGGGTTCAGGCAAGGCTATTGGCTTGCAGGCTGAATGCCATAATCACCCTGAGGGAGATCGGTGGTGGTCCGAACGCCTAGATTCTGGAGGGACTGTGCATTAGTGCCTGAGCCTTGGGAGGGTGTATCAGTGCCTGAATGCCTGATTCCGAGGGAAGCATTGAATCCTTTACGCTTGGGACTCCGAGGGATAAGGCCTCTGAAGCGGGACATATGCCACGTTCCTTCCATATCTTCCTCCAGGTCCCCGCTCCATCCTCCACGGTCCAATTCAAGCCAGGGATGAAATTTAGCAGCAAGAAGGACGCAGTTGACGCGGTGCCAATGAACTAAGTCAAAACCCGGGTAAAGCTAGCTCTTCGACGTAAAGCCCCGCCCACTGTACGCATAGGCCCCTCCCCTGGGACGCTGATGAAAGACCTGTCCACTGCGCTCGAAGGCCCCCGCCCCCTTGGTCTAGTTTCTTAACAGACTTTGGTCCTATTTGCATAGCTCCACCCATTCCAGGGCAGCAGGGTTAGGTGGGGAAGCTCCCGCCCACTCTGGGCACATGCCCCGCCCGCTCCGAGCTCTGGACAGCAGCGGAGTTAAGAGTTGTGGAGACCCAGCCAACTCTGCTCAAAGGCTCCAACCCTGGGTTTAGGTAGCGAAGGGACTATCTCTGAATTAAATTTGCATAGCCACGCTCATTGTGCTTAGGCTCCGCCTCCCCGCTAAGCCTGCCCTTGCCTTAGCATCCCATACTAACAGACCTCGCTCCTAAACAGTCTGACCTCTCATTTTAGGCCCTCCAACCCTACCCCCATCAGCCTGGTAATCACTGACTCACTCCCGCCCCACGCCCTGCCCCTAGGTTCCTGTGCCAGCAAGATGCTGGAAGGAGGCGCGGAGTCCATGGCCGGGGCCACGGATCCTAGTCCCACTGGCAAGGAACCAGTGACTGAAGAAAGTGAGAGTGGCGCCGCCTGTGAGTAGGGAGCATTCTCCAGGAATGCGGACTAAGATAATCACATTCTGGGGGAATTTCAGGGTGAAAGTTTGAAGCCCAGGGTGATGACTATTTGGGATCCCCAAAAATGCCACGTTCTGGGAAATCCTCCCATTTGGCTCAGAGAGAGCCTCAGTGACCATTTGCTAGGGCTCAGAAAATTACAGAAGGGATGGGGCAGGGATGACACGCAGGATTTCAGGTGATCACTGGGAAGATAATAGAAACGGATACCTTGGTAGCTTTGACGAAGCCTAGGTAGCCTTGGGGATCCAGGAAAGTAACCCTTTGGAGTCCCTCAGGATGATGCCCGGGGGAAAGGGGAGCAGAAACATGCCATGTGGGGAGTCTCAATGTGATGCTTGAGGTGCCCAGATACACCTGGAGGAGCATCTCGAATATCCAAGTCGTGGTGGAGCCTGGTCTAGGCCCAGGGCGTTGGCTGCTTCCTGGAGCCCACCAGCCCTCCTGTCCCCTAGCTCCCCACCAGGGCCCACCGCAGAAGCCCAGCCAGTCGTCTGCGGGCGCGCCTCCCCGGCCCCGCCGGCGGCCCCCACCCGAGCGCCCACACCGGTGCCCGGACTGTGACAAGGCCTTCTCGTACCCGTCCAAGCTGGCCACGCACCGCTTAGCACACGGCGGCGCCCGACCCCACCCATGCCCAGACTGCCCAAAGGCCTTCTCCTACCCCTCCAAGCTGGCAGCCCACCGCCTCACGCACAGTGGTGCCCGCCCACACCGGTGCCCACACTGCCCAAAGGCCTTTGGCCACCGCTCCAAGCTGGCGGCTCACCTCTGGACCCACACGCCCACCCGCCCCTATCCATGCCCCGACTGCTCCAAGTCTTTCTGCTACCCTTCCAAGCTGGCGGCCCACCGCCACACTCACCACGCCACCGACGCCCGCCCCTATCCTTGCCCGCATTGCCCCAAGGCTTTCTCATTTCCCTCCAAGCTGGCCGCCCATCGCCTATGTCACGATCCCCCCACTGCGCCCAGCAGCCAGGCCACAGCCCGGCACCGATGCTCCAGCTGCGGCCAGGCCTTTGGCCAGAGACGCCTCCTGCTCCTTCATCAACGCAGCCACCACCAGGCGGAGCACAAGGGGGAGAGAGACTGAGCCCTCCCTTGGGCTCACTGTCCCCCTCTGCCCTTAGCCCTTGCCAGTAAGAGGTGGGATTTCTAAGCCCCGCTGTATGAGCTCGCCTCTTCCAGATAGCTGGCAGGGCAAGGGATTGGCCATTTATACTGGGCTCAAACTCAAAAGCCCGAGGAACTGTTTGCTCCCCTGCTTTAGGGAGAATAAAGCATCAACCACAGTTTTAGCACTGGGTCTCAAACCACAGACGTGAAGCTGTGGTTTGACAGCGCTGGCTCTGCTTCTCCCCACACACATACATAGCAAGGGTAAAAAAGTCTGCTACTATTGTAGGCTGATGAGGATGGTGGGCAAACAGGCTCTCTTGCTGTTACAAGTTGAAATTGGTGTCTCTCCTTTGACCATATGACTGTATCTAAGAAACTGAAAATACATACATGTTTGTTTCAACTCTTCTAGGAATTTATTCTATAAATTCATGCATGTGAAAAAAAACCATGTATATGGGTGTTCACCACAGTGTGACTGTTGTGGCCAAAGATTGGAAGCAACTCAAGTGCCCAAAAACAGGTGACCGACTATTGAATTACAGCCATGGAATGGAATAGGTAGCCATAGGAAAAAAGGAAGCACTAAATGTACTGATGTGGAAAGATCTCCAAGATACACTAGGTGATAAAAGCAAGAACAAAGGCTATACCACTGACCTTTTAAAGACATTGACAAGCCCAAGCTTCAGGCTGGGTATGGTGGCTCACACCTGTCATCCCAGCACTTTGGGAGGACAAGGTGGAAGGACAGCTTGAAGCTAGAAGTTCAAGAACAGCCCGAGCAACATAACAAGACCCCATCTCTACCAAAAAAAAAAAAAAAAAACCTGGGTGTGGGTGTGGTGGCATACGCCTGTAGTCCCAGCTACTTGGGAGGCTGAGGTGGGTGGATCACTTGACCTGGCAGGTCAAGGCTGCAGCAAGCTGTGATCATGCCACTGCCTTCCAGTCTGGGTGACAGAGCAAGAGCCCATCTGTAAAAGAGAAAAAAAGCCCAAGCTTCAGAGCCATCCCTGACCCATTTCTTAGAAGTTGCCAGGCCTTTGACAAGCTTTGTCACTCCTGTGGACTCAGACGCCTTTACTATAAAATGGGTGGGTTATAAGGCATTTGTAAGGGGCAAGAATCACTTCAGGCAAAGTCAGTTCCCCTTTTGGAGCCTGTTTCTCCCATTATAAAATAAGGATGAGCAAGCTTAACACTGGATTGTTCTTCATCCATTCTACAAATATTAAGCACCTCCTGTGTGCTGCATGGGGTGTTGGGAGCACAGTGTTGAAGACAGACCTGGTCTAGTGAGGAAAGTGGACACTAATTTTAAAAAGCAGCAGGCCAGGCACAGTGGCTTAGGCCTATAATCTTAGCACCTTGGGAGGCCGAGGCAGGTGGACCACTTGAGGTCAGGGGTTCGAGACCAGCCTGGCCAACATGGCAAAACTTTATCTCTACTGAAAATACAAAAACTGGCTGGGCGTGGTGGTACAGACCTGTAATCCCAGCTACTTGGGATGGGAGGCTGAGGCACGAGAATCGCTTGAACTCAGAAGGCGGAGGTTGCAGTGAGCCAAGATTGTGCCATTGTACTCCAACATGGGCAACAGAGACTCTACCTCAAAAAAAAAAAAAAAGCAGCAGTAGCCAAGTCATTCATTCATTTATGTATGTATGTATGTATGTATGTTTATGTATGTATGTATGTATGTATGTATGTAGAAGCAGCGTCTCTCTATGTTGCCCAGGCTAGTCTGAACTCCTGGAGTTAAGCAGTCCTCCCACTTTGGCCTCCCAAAGTGCCCCAAGTCCATTTAGAAGAACAAGTAGGAGAGCCTTGGCTCCCTACCTCCTCAACCCAGATACAAGAATTATTACAAACCTCTGCAGTAATGAAATTGGTGGTGTTGGCTTGAAAACAGGCCAGATGAAGGTAACTGAGAGCTCAGAAACAGACCTGTGCTTATGCTGGCATATGATAAACTGGATGTATAGATCTGAGAGTGGCAACCTTTTACTACAAAAGGCCAAAGAATACAGACAGTCCCTGACTTATAATGGTTTAAGGATATTCCAACTTTATGATGAGTTCATCTGGATGTAGCACCATTGTAAGTCAAGGAGCATCTTTTTCTTTGTTTTCTTTTCTTTTTTTTTTTTTTTAAAGACAAGGTCTTGCTCTGTTGCACAGGCTGGAGTGCAGTGGCATGCTCTGAACTCCTGGACTCAAGGGATCCTCCTACCTCAGCCTCCCAAGTAGCTGGGACTACAGGCATGCACCACCACACCTAGCTAATTTATTTATTTTTATTTTTGAGACAGAGTCTTGCTCTATCACCCAGGTTGGAATGCAGTGGCACGATCTCCACTCACTGCAACCTCTGCCTCCTGGGCTCAAGGATTCTCCTACCTCAGCTTCCCGAGTAGCTGGGATTACATGTGTGCACCACCATGCCCAGCTAATTTTTGTATTTTTAGTAGAGATGGGGTTTTGCCATGTTGGCCAGGCTGGTCTCAAACTCTTGACCTCAAGTGATTTGCCTGCGTTGGTCCCCCAAAGTGCTGGGATTACAGACATGAGCCACCTAACCCAGCCCACAGCTAATTTAAAAAAAAAATTTTTTGTAGAGATCGGGTCTTGCTATGTTGCCCAGGCTGGTCTCAATCTTCTAGCCTCAAGAGATCCTCCTGCCTTGGCCTCCCAACATTCTGGGATTCCAGGCATGAGCAACCACACCTGGCTCCATCTGTATCTATTATATTTTTAAGTTTTGCAGGCCATACAGGGTCTACCACAACTATTCCACTCTGCCACTGTAGCAGGAAAGCAGCCACACACATTACAATACATAAATGAATAAGCATGGCTGTATTCCAGCATTTACCAAAACTCTAGGTAGGCTGGATTTTGCCTATGGGCTGTAGTTTGTCGAGCCTTGACATGGATGAGTGGAGAATGGACAGACTAACCAGTAAATAAGGCTGAGAAACATGGGGAAAAATTAAGTTGAATCCGTGGTGTGCAGAAGAATGATCCCCCAAAGATATCCATATTTGAATCCCCAGAACCTGTATGTTAACTTACATATAGCAAAAAGGACATTGCAGATGTGACTAAGATGGGAAAGTTATCCTGATTATTCAGATAGGTCCAATACAATCACAAGGGTCCTTATATGGGAAAGAGGGAAGCAGGAGACAGAGAAAGAGAGGTGATCATGAAATCAAATATTCAAGTGATGAAAGGCCCCAAGGAATTTTGCCTAGAAAAGGCAAGGAAATAATTTCCTTCTTAGAGTCTCCAGAAGGAATGCAGCCCTGCTGACACTTGATTTTAGCCCAATTAGGCTGATTTTGGACTACTGACCTCCAGAACTATAATAAAATAACTTGTGTAGTTTAAAGCCACTAAGTTACAGCAACAATGGGAAACTACTGCAGATCCCTACCTCACACCATACACAAAAATACGTTTTGGGGGGTTTAAGATCTAAATTTGAAGAGAAAAACTCAAAAATATTTACATAGAAATAAAGATAATTATCTTAGTAACCCCAGAAGTAGAGACAGTATCCTTAAGAGACAAAAGTGTGTAAATCATAGATGAAAAGATGGGTAAACATGACCATAAACAAATGTAAAGTTATGACTAGGATGGACAAGATGTAGTATTTTAAGAGTATATACCTGGCATATCCTAGTATATAGTGGAGGTTAGGAAAGGCCTTGTTGAGAGGTAATATTCGAGCTGAGATCTGAAAGTTATGGAAGAAGGAGTGAGAAAGTAGAAAGTGTCCATAGACTAGATAAAGAAAATGTAGTACATATACACTATGGAATACTATGCAGCCATAAAATGGAAGGAGATCACATCCTTTGCAGGGACATGGATGGAGCTGGAAGCCATTATCCTCAGCAAAGTAACAACACAGGAACAGAAAACCAAACACTGCATGTTCTCACTTATAAGTGGGAGCTGAATGATGATAACACATGGACACAGCTGGGCATGGTGGTTCACGCCTGTAATCCTAGCACTTTGAGAGGCTGAGGCAGGTGGATCACCAGAGGACAGGAGTTCAAAACCAGCCTGGCCAACATGGTGCAACTTATACTAACAGGTGGCAGGTGCTTGTAATCCCAGTTACTCAGGAGGCTGAGGCATGAGAGTCGCTTGAACCCAGGAGGCAGAGGTTGCAATAAGCCAAGATTGTGCCACTGCACTCCAGCCTCGGCAACAAAGTGAGACTCTGTCTCAAAAAAAAAAAAAAACAAAAAAACCACATGGCGGGAACAACACACATCAGGGCCTGTCGGGGTGGAGGCGGGGGGCTAGGAAAAGCATCAGGAAAAGTAGTCAATGGATGCTAGGCATAATACCAAGGTGATGGGATGATCTGTACAGCAGACCACCATGGCATACATTTACCTATGAAACAAAACTGCACATCCTGCACATGTACCCCTTAACCTAAAATAAAAGTAGGAGAAAAGAAAAAAGTGTCCAGCCTAAGGGCTAGGACTGAGCAGGCAAATGAAGTCAGCAGGCTGCTGTACTGCACTCTACTCAGTAAGGCCTTTCGGGGAAGGTTCTGCAACGGGTAAGGGTTCTACTCTGTCCTCCAAACCTGGCAGTGCTGCTTCTATCCATGTTTATACAGAGAGCTGTCCTGGAAGAGTTTCTCCAAAGCATCCATATCAGCAGCAAAGTTTCAAGGACACAAATTCATTTGAGAGGGCATTGATCTGGTCCAACCTTACTTTTATAGATGCGGGAAATGAGGCCAGGAAAGATGAGATTTATCGGCAACCAAAGAACAGGGCAGTGCCTGAGTCTGGGTGGATCCTGGGTCTCTTGATAGTCAGACACCCACCCAGCTGTTCCTTGAACACATAATGCTCTTTCCTGCCTCGAGACCTTTGCACTTGCTTTTCTTCTGCCTGGAAGAACTCTGTCAGATACTCCTTACTTCTCCCAGGTCCCCGCAGAGGTGTAAGTCCTTCGAGAGGCCATCCCTAATTACCCTATCTAAACTACCCTGCCATTGCTCTGCCATTTTCCACTGTCCAAGGCTGCATTGCACATGCACCATCTCTCTCCCCCTTTACAATGTCAGGACAATGAGATCAGGGACTACTGTCTGTTTTATTCATACTGTCTTCCCAGTGTCTCCCACATGGTGGCTGTAGCAGGCAAAGTAATGGCCTCCCAAAGATGTTCACATCCCAGCAGGGCGTGGTGGCTCAGGCCTGTAATTCCAGCAGGTCGAGGTCAAGATCGAGGCTGAAGTGAGCAGTGATTGCACCACGGCACTCCAGCCTGGGCAACAGAGCAAAACCCTTTCTCCAATAATAATAATAATAATATAAAGCAACCCTTATCTTAAAGATGCAAAAACAAAAGTCCATAAAGA